TAATTTATTTTACTACCGGTTTGCTCGTGTGCGCGCTCGTGCAACACTTCGGTACATGTGCAGAAGCATCCAGATGGGTGGGCGGAGCCTCCCGCTGCCGCCACTACCGTTTTGCCTGATCCGGGGCGAGCCAGCAGAAACCCACCTCTGGTTTACTGAGCCTGAAGCATCATTATTAGCAATATTGAACAGTACTAATCAGGCTTTCCTTTCACTATAGCTCAAAGTTATGTATGAACCAAGCACAGTAGATCTATATAGCCAACAGCAAATTGAAGGGAATTACCTTATGGCTTCTTTATGGTACTGTGAACTGTAGTAAAGGCTGAATAGCATTATGCCTGATGCAAAGTTTTTTTAAAAAAAATTCGTGCAATGCATCATTCATAAAAGATCAAGATACAAGAATAGTTCCTGCACTCGAAGCTGTCATGCTGTTTCAGCTGATGTAGGTTCAGAGACATTATCTGTGAACCAAGTATATGGGTTGTTTTGCTTTTAGAAAGCGATTAGAACTGCCTTGACATTTGATCAATCTGCCTGTTATTATGCCAAGATACAGTCATTGAAGTAGGAAATATGTAAAATAAAAGCTACTTCAAAATGCAGCGAAGCATCAGTTCTGCCTTTGGTTCATTTAAAAGCACCACTGGCTGCCTGCTAGTTTACCCATCTGTTGTTTATGCTAATGAGTTCTCCCACTAAATTCCATTGTTTTTCAATGGAAAATGATACAAAACTACACATCACCCTTTGTTACATTAGATCGGATTAGACTTCTTTATTAGAATATTTTTAGAATCCTGGAATTTGGTTGGCAGAGCTGAATGCCTGCTTAGCTTCCTTTCAGACTTGCTGATGCTGTCAGTAGAGGAATTTTATCCAGTTAATGAGTTTTTGGGATTGAGTATCACGGGATTGAGGAAGTATGGGAAAGCCATCTGCTTCTCTCAGTAGATAACTAACTACTATAATAGCACCAAGAAAATAATGGAAAATATTGTTGTTCTGCAGTGCTATAAGAAGGATATTCCTGTGCCCACAATCTCCTTGACATCAAATCCCAACTCTTTACTGAAGGTTCTGGTCCATCTCTCATTATGCCCAATACATAAAATATCTTCATAACAGACAGACATAACTGGTTGCTGAATAAGGGTCTAGATTTACTTTGTTTAATGCACAGAATGTAATAATCAAATTAGTTTTGGCTCTTTTCCTTGATTCTAATTAATTGGAATGAATTTTGTTGCCTTTCTTTGGTAGAATAAGCTAATGAAGCTACTTCAGCGCCTACCCAGTAGTATAGTCAGAAGACTGCATCGTGAGCGCTATAAGAAGATGAGCTGGCTGACTCCTGTGCCCGATAGCCATAAGCTTACTGATCAGGACATAACAGAATTTGTAGAATGCATTATACAACCTGTCCTGCTGGCAATGTTTAGCAAAACTGGAAGTTTAGAGGCAGCCCAAGCGCTACAGAATCTTGCACTAATGCGTCCTGAGTTGGTAATCCCACCAGTACTTGAAAAGTGAGTACTATCTAAAAGCCACAAAAAGTTTACCTAGTTTTTATTTTTTTAATTTTTTTAAATTTAAAACAAACACAATATCTTCTTTACATGCTGTAGAAAGTGTATCAGTTGGTTACAAAAAGACTTTCGTGCATCACT